CGCACATTTGACTCGGCCTGGGCTGCATCAATCTCATCTACGCCGCATCATCCCGGCCTTCGCTGCTTTGTCAACGTCCAGTTTTCTCTCAAGATGTCAAAATTCCTTTTCCCCACTCCTTCGTGGCTCTCTGGACGTCCTTCCGGCGAGTTTGGATCTCACGAACAGGGTCGGTCCTATCGTTGTTACTTTTTCAAAAAATTTTACGACCCCCCTCCCCCAAGGTGGACTTGATACGACCCCCTTTTCGACACCTCGACCACCTCGACCCACCATCATCCTATCTCTATAACTTCGTATAATAATTCTGGTACCACTCAACCCACGAAACTCCGCCCACTTTTTCCTCCAAAAATGCCGTCAAGCGAGGCGGGGGGACGAGGGGGGGGGGGTATATACGCGCGCTGAAACGGCGAATTTCTCTCCCATGCGCTCCCAACTCACCTAGCCTACTACTCGTGAAAACTCCACTTTCACCACAAACTCACATGTATTTCACGCGACTGAAGCGGATACGACCCCCCTCCTATAAACTCAACCAGGTACGACCCCCCGTGTTTACTAGTAACAACGTAGGGTTGACCCTGCTTCCGAATCTGACTGGTTGTGCACTAACGTCAGGGCTCTGGAGCTTAGTTTTCGGGACCGATTTCAACCAGCACTTCTACACATTACACTGAACTTCTTTCCTCCTATGCTACCACTTCGCCGTCGTCAGCGTAAAGGATGGCTTTTAGTGGTCCCATCCATAAGTCCCTTCCTATGACGTCTACGCGTAGCAGACGCTCAAAGCTGATCCTTGCTGTAGGTGATATCTACCCCCTTTGTCGAGCCGTGTTGGGTTCGTACAATGGCCGTGCTCCTCTATTGAATCTCACTCATTTTGATAAAAATTTTCACGATACTTCACAAAACGTACACTTTGGGCATTCAAAGGAACACATGGAGCATACCATCATATTCATTTATTGTTCATGAAAGCATTCAATAAAAATATATACATAATCTATTTTGGTGAAAGCACCTAACCAAAGTACATAATCATATTTTACCAGTACCAATTTCTCACATGTTAATCAGATCTCACAGAGTTAGCAAATGCTATAATAACAGGGCTGAAATGCGAACTTATGTACAATCTGGGCAAATAGTGCTGCTCTGTAGCGTTTTTTTTTATCATGAAGGATGGAGTACCTCACTTGCGGCTGGAGGGCACCGCTGTATACACGGAGGGGGGGGGGGCAAAAAATAGTCACTTTGCCCATGGCGCACATCATCAAACTTTTCGTCGCACAGGGTGCCGTGTTGATGAAGTTTACGGCGAATATTCCTTAGATGTCCCTCCATAAGTAGAAGCAGGCCCTCCTTCACTGCCCTCACCGCCCTCACTATGACGTCATCTGCCATCGCTTTTTAGGCAGTTGTAGCTCCGTTTTGAAGCTGAGAAAGTGTGGCTCTTTTTTTGCGCCCCCCCCCCTCCCTGATGGTGGTACTGGCACGCTTTCAAGAGCGAGACTAGCTGTTGTTACATGGTTGCAGGCACCAACTGTGAATCCGATCTGCTATGGAGCTCAAAGTCTACAACGCATTTACATCATATTGCCGTGACAAAGGAAACAGTTTTAAATTGAGGTGGTTTTTCAGGATGACAAGCGGGATTTCTGTAGCCTTGATGTGGCCTTTAATTTTCCCCAGTAAATCAATTGATTTAAACAATCGGCGAAAAGTGTTGCGATATTCGGAGCTTCTTTGATAGCACACGTAGAATGTCTGAGCAAAACACATCATTTGTAGCACGCTCTGAAATAATTTTATTAAATTTATCCAATAAATTTATTAAATTTTTATAAATTATTTCTGAAACGGTGAAACTCCAGTTCGGGGGGGCCACTCCATTTTTTCTCCAATACTCAAGATAAGGATTAGAGGGCTCACGACACGTAATCGACTCATTTAAAGTAGACTTCTGATAAATATTGGTGTAATGGGTGAGAAACCCTGAAACGTTTTCACATTTCCGCCTGCCATGACCCAAGGGAACGGTCCTGGACCAGGAGAAAGGACACCTCCGCAAAGGGCTAAGGGTGCAGGAGCTCCAGGGTGGATCACCTGTGCAGAAAAGTGGATGGGATGTGGGCAGGTAGTGTGGAATGTAGGACATCCACCGGTCCTTATCAAAAGTACGCTCGAAATGAGTCGTTCACTTATTATCTTATCCGTAGTGTTCGATAGCCCAAAGAACTGCTCTCTAGTACTACGGATAAGATAGCAATGGAGTGCCCCCCCCCCGAACTGGAGTTTCACCTCTGAAACCAACGGCATAATTATTTTCTCACCGTGACCATCCCCATCAACCGTTTCCATTTGGAATCCGTCACAAAACGCATCACGTTAGTCAGCACGAGAGACAGTACCCATGTGCAGACGTAGATCACAACCAACATAGATATGGTACGCATTGTTTTACGATGCTGGTTACGAAAACACACGTTTTTGTTTTTACGCATGAATATTTTTGCTAGAAATAAAGTTTTTCAGTGAAAGACAGAACGGATATTTCGCTCAGAATTAATTATTAGGATATTCTCTCATAAGTCTGCCATAATTTTTTCACTGGTCAAACTTCATTCTGACTGAGATGAGGATGCTGAGAAGGGCCTGTGGTTGGACGCGACTGGACAGGGTCAGAAATGAGGATGTCAGAGCGGTCATGCAGACTGCCCCTGTCCAGCTGAAGATGCGGGAACAGCGTCTTCGATGGTATGGGCACGTGCTAAGGCGGCCACAGACCACCCAATAAGGAAAATTGGGGAAGAAGGAAATACGTGAAGCGCAATTCTAGCCCCCGCGAGAGCCCGAAAGCAACGGTAGAGAGACGTCATCAAGAAGGACCTCACTGAAATTCAGGGTCACGGCTAAAGATGCCCTGGACAGAACAACACGGCGACGGTTGACAAAGACAGCGGACCTGCGCGGGACTAACGCTAGGAAGAAGGAAGAGAAGAAATTAATAGAAAAGTACTATGCAGTACGTTCAGTGGCGCGCGACGGCCTCCGTCGGGTACCTGAGAGCCTGGGCATATGGATGTTGTCCTCGAGATCATACTCTCTCCGTGAGAGGCGCTTTCAGGTAGATGTCAGACAAGCATAAGGCCGATGTCAGACTTTGCGATTCGCTACTAGCGATTCGCGCGATTCGCTAGCGTCCGCGGTCGCGTTGCGGTACCAGCCAATTGAGTGATTCACTGGCCGCGACGCGACCGCAGACGCTAGCGAATCGCGCGATTCGCAAAGTCTGACATCGGCCTTAAGGTCAGCACCGCAATCGTACACCTATTTCACCATGAGTTCACCGTGTTCAGAGGCACCCTATCCCATCAAATCCATCCGAAATTTGCTGAGGCACAAATTATCATTCGAATTGCATGTTGGTGCTTTATGATCAAAAAAAGGAGCTATCCGCAATATGCGGGACTGGTGACTGATTGGTTAACGCGTGCATTGTTCAACAAACATTCTTGTTTGTGTAAAAACGGAACGAAGACTCAGACTAGAGAGGAGAAATTCCAACGTGCGCAACTCGTTTCATTTTCCTCGCAGTTCTTTCCCCTCCTAGGCCTGGTTCTAAAGGGTGTCCCTCTGTATTTGCGATAGCGCCCAAAAAAACTACAGAAACTTATGCGACACCTTATACTTTAGTGAAATATCATGAGAATGCAATAAAAGACACAAACCTCGCACGTACATAATACTATAGCAAGTGAGGTAAATGAGCATTTGTAAAGCGGCGATACAGTAGGACGCAAACTCTACATGGCTGGAGGCAGTATGTTCCTGCACACTATAGAGATTACACTGGCGCTTCCCCTTCGCATCAGTAGCAATGTACGATATCAGGGTGTACGCGGTCGAAATCAGGCCACAAGCCGCAATATTCACCGCGACACACATCCGTACAGACCACTTACGGTATCTGGAATTCAACTATCTCGAACTTACTGTACGCGCTCTCATATTTCCGAAAGGTATCTCTGATACTTACATCAATGGTATAAGAATGGCGCATAAGAGGTCGACTGACTGATATAACGAGTACAATCAACGACTGCCACACCATTGTTGCCAGAAAGTAGGAGAATATTTGAAAGCACATAATACTATTTAATATGGGTGCTCCGACTGAAAATATAACCAATGACTCAAGAATGCCTTTGGCATTTTTTTTGAAGATCGCTGACTTGTTGTGAAGTTGCGACTGTGCTCTTGTTTATTGCCGTCTGGCCGCGCGAAAAGTTTTGTTCATACCCAGCATTCTTGTGAGTCCGTTCATAAAAAACTCTGTTTCCAGAAAACTTGTCGTATTAAAATTGCCAAGAAGAAGAATGGTAGAGGGAATAAGGGACGAGAATGGAATTTGGGGGCAAGTTGGGAGTTGCGTTCAGCGTAGTAGTCTGATGGTGCTACTATTACCATCGATCAGAAGGGGTCGCATCAATTGTAGAGGCAGAGGGTTGCATCATGACTTCCTCTAGCGACATTTTCTCTCCCTATGATCCCCTGAGCCTAAGCCATCTTTAGGATTCAGCCATTGAATAGCGTTGGTATAAAGATGATGAGGTATCCAACTGCTGATAATTGAGTTTGGATGCGCCAGCGCATTCCTACTTCACCTCAAATACCGTATGTGACACTTTGGAAGTGCGAGTCGGCCAATATTCAATTAACCAAGGGAAGCCAATGTACAAGTCAGTGATTTTCTCTCGCACCGACACGTCTGGAACCAAATTAACTTCGAATCGGCGGTCGGCCCGGACGACGCAATTGAGCCACCCCGTTTGTTTCCGCCGATTCGCGCATTGGTACTTAAGCGAAGTAAGCAAACCAGCCCTTTTGGCGTTTCTGCTGGGACCGTATGCTGAATGGGGGATGGAGTCCCCGACGGTGGACGGACCACTTCAACTCGGTCCTTAGAACCGCCACAATTTGGTGCTTACCTCAGAACTAAGCCTTAAAGAGAGGACGGGTCCGTCCCCTCTCCAAGGCTTAGTCCTGGGGTGAGCAAACCAGCCCTTTTGGCGGAGCTGCTGGACCAGCTGCACCACTTGCGTCATACTCTCCTATCGTACCGACCGAGTTGAAGTAGTCCGTCGACCTTGGGGACCCCATCCCCTCCCCAACATTCAGCATACGGCCCCAGCAGAAACGCCAAAAGGGCTGGTTTGCTTACCTCGTAAGCAGCCCCACTTACCCACTACACCACTTCCGCCCTATAGCACTAGTAGCTAGAATAAAGCAAAAATCGTCTCCTCCTTTCCTCCCCCCCCCCGCTATTTCAGACTGGAATAAATGAAGGGATTCAACAGCATTTGAATTTTAATAACTTCAACACTAGCAAAGGAATGAGTAAACAAAGAAATTTAAAATTGAAGACAAAGTCATTTCACACGAAAGTATTAAAAAAGCATACCTATAAATGCAGTATTCAACAGCTGTCCTAGGATGCAAATGATATGCGTCACAGAAAGTTGAACGAGAAGTAATCCTGAAATGTGCTGATTCCGACTGTGTTGTGAACCATGTATTGAATTTATCTTTGAGTCCCTACAATTCCTTGAAAGAATGGATACCATCAGAAATGATGCAAGCCGATGTCTCAAAAACCCGGCATCTTGGCTCATGTACGGCAAGTTACAGCGCCTTTTCAAGGAAACGAGTACTATGCTCGCGATTTCAAGGAGAATCGGGATTGAAGATTTCAGGCAGCGTGTGGGGGAATGGAAACTTCGCGAGTGGTCCGTTAAAAATGGACAAAGTTTCCTGCGTTGATGAGAAAAGCACCACGCTTTCTACATCCATTCAGAATTGTAATAGCAACTACTAAACTACTCCGTAGGGGGAAAGGCTTTGGGAAGTGGCGCCACTTGCCACCATCTCGCCTCTGCTTTGCAGTCCCTTACTGACCAGCAGTTCGTTTGAGGCAACAGTCCCAGCAGGGTTTTTACCTTTGACACTAATGGCGTGGAACGATGCGCTAGCCCTAGTCAAAGCTCTTGAAGTGTGACTGAACAAAAAACTCACCTTGGAAAGCCGCTGGAAAGGGAGGGTGAACACTTTGAAGTGGGCGTGGTTGGAAGTGGGCTGAGGGGATTGCAGCCGAATGAGCAAACACGCCCACTTCGAAAGCCGTTCAGGTCCTTTTATGGCGGCTTTCCAAAGTGAGCTTTTTGTTCTATCACCCTTCTTATCATGTTGTTGACATCGTTCCACACCATTAGTGTAGAAGGTAAAAGCCCTCCTGGGACTGTTACTTTAAGTAACCAGTGAGGCGGGCACCATGAATGATCACTATCTACGAATATAAGCGGTCCTAATCGCAAAGTATGAACGCGATCTCTGTTAGCAGGGTAATGCTACATGAATAGTTATGTTAATTGATCATGTTAATTATAATGTTGATTTAATTATGAATTATTATAATTGTGAAGTTAAATTACAGTAACCAAAAGCTCACCGTACTTGGTCTGGATCTCTTTAGTCTTATAGGTAGCGAATAGAATCACGGAATGACCGAAAAGACCAGCCACGGCTAGGACAATCTGAGCAGTACAGACGACAATAGAGAAAATAGCGACGAGGACGTCGTTAACATCCTGACCCATTCAAAAAATCACCGCAGCACTCAATATGAATCTGAGTAGCTGTTTTATCACTGTAAATTATTATTATTACGAAGTATGGAGCTTAATCCATTACGATATTATCCGATCCACTTATTCCGATTGTAAGAGAGTGAGAGAGAGCAATAAAGGTATTCCATCAAGGTAAATTACAAATTGAGGTAGGAGTAATAGAACTAAAGCTCCCCTGACCATTTCTTCTTTGTTCCCCTATTTCGGCGGGTTCTGCTTAGAGAAAATACGCTCCATTGGTACGTTAGAGGCTGTCGGGGTGAGAGGCAGAGCGAGCGAGAGCATACTGTAGCGACTCATCTGGGGCCGTAAGGTATGCTTCCCCGAATGCTTGCGGGGACGAAAGTCCCTTTAAATTTTTTGTTTTGAACGATACTGTTTCTTTATTTTCAATGCATGTTTACTTTAAGCTACACACATATATTAAATGTAGGCCCTTTATCAGGACAGAGAAAATTTAAAGGGATTTTCGTCCCCTAACCCTTCGGGGAAGCATACCTTACGGCCCCTGATGCTTCGTACTTGAGACTTCCGTTCAACGGCATCGGGAGATATCGCCGACCGGCTGGTGCCTCCGTCACCTCCTTGTCTCCCTCGAGGTGTCGCTTATGGGCCCAGCGTCTCCGCTGAGAGTTCTCGCCTGGCCTTCTTCAAAGTGAGCAATACTAATAAATCTCGGTGCTAACTTAGTTGGGGGGGGCACGCGGCGGCGCGGCAGTCTGCTCGCCTGGCATGTTCGGAAATCCGTGGGCCAGGGGGAGTGTAGCCAGCCTAGGGGGGGGGGGGGGGGTGGGGGCAGTCACTTGACATGCGTGAAAAGCTGGAATGTTCGAGTTTACACTGTCTCGCCGTCGAGCCCAGGCGACCAGAGGTACCCGCCAGGTACCCGCCCGCGCCCGGCGCCCCCGCGGCCCCCCCCCCAAGCTGAGAGTTAGCACTTAGATCCCGACATTAATTCGCGTCTGAGTAGCAGAAGAACTCGGAGCAAACGAGAGTTCAAGGCGGTTAACTCGATAAACAAACTTAGTTGCGCAATTGAGCGTTCCCAGGGTATAGTCACGAAGAAACGTACCAGGCTCAGAACAACAGGAGCATCATGTATCGATCGTGAATATTTTATGCGTATTCGACCGCGACGCCGCGCCGCCCCGAGATTCCAATTACTGTACACGCGTAGGAGCCCGGTTGTAGATTCGGTCTCCATCCGGCATTTCGTCTTGTCTCCGCACGTTCAACCCGGCCAACAACTTCATCACGAATTACCCGCAGATGTACGTAAAAACACCATCATGCAATCAGTAAAGAAATATGAATGAATGTGATAAATTATATAATACACAGAAACGATGCACAATAATCGGAGGAACGATCAGCTGAGGGCGAGAGGCGGAGTCTGTGAGTGTTTCCGCGTGGTAGTCTGTGAGTGTTTCCGCGTGGTGATAACGGCACAATGACGGAACCCTTGGGGAAATTGAAGAATCCGAAATCCAATTATTCCCACGGATTTAATGAACGTATCAAAAGTCAGTTTCAGGAGAACATTCCACACAAATTCGTCTCTATTGAAAATCAGCTCGATTCAGCGTACACCCTCATAAAACCTGCTAGCTTATTTTTAGCTATCCGATTTGTCACGTGGCAACCCGGCTCGGGATCTCCCTCTCCTGCGTGAGCTCTACGTAGTCTGTCCTCGCTTAGGTGATGTCCATGCACAAAAAAGAGCACCATCACAGAAATTACATGTCGTTAGAATGCATCTCATTAATCAATTGAGCTAGAAATCTGTTGGAATTCGCTTCTCCTCCTCCCCTCCTCCCTCCACTGTCCTCCAACTGCCTTGTGGCACTATGTGAAATGACAAGCGTGAGCTCAATAAGTGTTGATCTAGTCGGGTGGGGTGTTATCACGATCATTCCATTGCAAAACAATGATAACTGAAGTCCTGCTATCCGGTATAGTTAGCAGTTTGTGCATTCCATAAGCTCCCTTACCACTTCATTTCGCGGACGGACAGACGAACACCTTTACCGGCAAACATACACGTCTATTACATAAAAACCGATTCACTAGTTAGGCAGCGTTCAGAGTTGGCGATCGTAAGTACGTGCGATTAGGCGACTAGTCTATAAGGGATACGTATCGATTAGGCGATTAGGCGAGCGTTCGACGGGCGGAGCAACAAATCAATACGTATCTTTCTCTTGTCGTCTACTCCGCCGAGTATTATTGACTCGCCTAATCGTCTTGTTGCCTACGCTTACA